TATATACCAAGGGCACCTTGGCATGGTGTAATGGTTAGCAAGCTTGTCTCACTAGATCAGTTACAACTGAAAAGTGAGTTCGATCCTCACTAGGTGTCCCATACTTTCGGCCTTGTGCCACATCTAAGCTACACTTAGAAAATAACTATGTATTCCCAAGCGGTTACCCATCAAGGCTCAGTGTTGCTTAACTTTGAATCATTTTAAGGTAACATTGTGTTTCATCTATGGTGAAATTTGGATTTAGTCAGTGTTGGATACTATATGTATATACTGTATGTAGCATCATATGAATCTAGTAGCAAAATTAGCAAAAAATTGCTACGGCATCCATATTTTCGAGGATCTTGCATTATGCATCATTTTAGGTAACATTTTTGAGGTTGTTAAATTTACTCAGATATCTCATTAGAATCATTTGTTATATTTTTCTGGGTTTGTTTATTACCTGGACAGAAGCTAAATATTTATTCATTTTATAAGCTCTAAATGCTTAATGATGCTAGGAAATAATTTATGAAATAATATTTACATATATTTTTTTAAATTTAGGGCCCCATTAAAAACATATACAACCGAGTCCCATACTAGCTTAATCTGGTCCAGCCTTGAATTTTTGTTCCAGCTTTGGATATAAAAAGAAGAAAGACCATTTGAAACACTATATAACAAGAAAATTAAGATGTAAATGATATCTGTAGTATTTTAAATGGATTGATTGAAAACCTCATGGTTCAACAGCTTAATCATTTTATTCTGTGTCTTTTTTAAATTACCTTTTCCCAGTGTTGGGTTAACCTCATAGCAAAATTAGTAAAGGCTCCAAGTCTTACATTAAATACTTTTAGACTGTCTGGTGAAATTGGCATCTTATGGTCAGGAATGTCAATAGAGTTCCATCTTTAATTATTTCTAAGTTGAAGAATATGAATGATAACCCACATTACATACACACTTTCTCCAAGCATTAATTATAATAATAAACTACTTTTACATCAGGTGTGAGAAAGTGAAGGGAGGGGGGTAAATCATTGGTGAGTGCGAGAAAGTGAAGGGAGGGGGGTACATCATTGGTGAGTGCGAGAAAGTGAAGGAGGGGGGGTACATCATTGGTGAGTGCGAGAAAGTGAAGGGAGGGGGTAAATCATTAGTGTGAGTGAAGGGAGGGGGTAAATCATTAGTGAAGGAAGGGGGGTCATTGGTGAGTGCGAGAAAGTGAAGGGGGGGGTAAATCATTGGTGAGTGAGAGAAAGTGAAGGGGGGGTACATCATTGGTGAGTGCGAGAAAGTGAAGGGAGGGGGGGGCAAATCATTGGTGAGTTTGAGAAAGTGAAGGGAGGGGGGGTACATCATTGGTGAGTTTGAGAAAGTGAAGGAGGGGGGCATCATTGGTGAGTGCGAGAAAGTGAAGGGAGGGGGGTAATCATTGGTGAGTGAGAAAGTAAATCATTGGTGAGTGCGAAAAGTGAAGGGAGGGGGTAACATCATTGGTGAGTGCGAGAAAGTGAAGGGAGGGGGGTACATCATTGGTGAGTTTGAGAAAGTGAAGGGAGGGGGGTACATCATTGGTGAGTTTGAGAAAGTGAAGGAGGGGGTACATCATTGGTGAGTTTGAGAAAGTGAAGGGAGGGGGTAAATCATTAGTGAGTCATTGGTGGAGGGGGTAAATCATTAGTGAGTGCGAGAAAGTGAAGGGAGGGGGTACATCATTGGTGAGTGCGAGAAAGTGAAGGGAGGGGGGGCACATCATTGGTGAGTGCGAGAAAGTGAAGGAGGGGGGGTACATCATTGGTGAGTGCGAGAAAGTGAAGGGAGGGGGGGCACATCATTGGTGAGTTTGAGAAAGTGAAGGGAGGGGGGTTATCATTGGTGAGTGCGAGAAAGTGAAGGGAGGGGGGTAAATCATTAGTGAGTGTGAGAAAGTGAAGGGAGGGGTAAATCATTGGTGAGTGCGAAAGTGAAGGGGGGGTAAATCATTAGTGAGTGCGAGAAAGTGAAGGAGGGGGCATCATTGGTGAGTGCGAAAGAAAGTGAAGGGAGGGGGTAAATCATTAGTGAGTGCGAGAAAGTGAAGGGAGGGGGTAAATCATTAGTGAGTGTGAGAAAGTGAAGGAGGGGGTACATCATTGGTGAGTGCGAGAAAGTGAAGGGAGGGGGTAATCATTGGTGAGGGGGTAAGGGATCATTGGTGAGTTTGAGAAAGTGAAGGAGGGGGGTACATCATTGGTGAGTTTGAGAAAGTGAAGGGAGGGGGGTACATCATTGGTGAGTGCGAGAAAGTGAAGGAGGGGGGTAAATCATTAGTGAGTGTGAGAAAGTGAAGGATCATTAGTGAGTGTGAGAAAGTGAAGGGAGGGGGTAAATCATTGGTGAGTGAAAGGAGGGGGTAAATCATTGGTGAGTGTGAAAGTGAAGGGAGGGGGGTAAATCATTGGTGAGTGTGAGAAAGTGAAGGGAGGGGGGCACATCATTGGTGAGTGCGAGAAAGTGAAGGGAGGGGGTACATCATTGGTGAGTGCGAGAAAGTAAAGGGAGGGGGGGTTTACATCATTGGTGAGTGCGAAAAGTGAAGGGAGGGGGTACATCATTGGTGAGTGCGAGAAAGTGAAGGGAGGGGGGTAAATCATTAGTGAGTGCGAGAAAGTGAAGGGAGGGGGGTAAATCATTAGTGAGTGTGAGAAAGTGAAGGGAGGGGGTAAATCATTGGTGAGTTTGAAAAAGTGAAGGGAGGTGGGTAAATCATTAGTGAGTGTGAGAAATTGAAGAGAGGGGAGTAAATCATTGGTGAGTGCGAGAAAGTGAAGGGAGGGGGGTAAATCATTGGTGAGTGTGAGAAAGTGAACGGAGGGGGGTAAATCATTGGTGAGTATGGAAAAGTGATGGGTGGGGGTAAATCATTGGTGAGTGTGAGAAAGTGAAGGGAGGGGGGGTAAATCATTGGTGAGTGTGAGAAAGTGAAAGGAGGGGGCTAAATCATTAGTGAGTGCGAGAAAGTGAAGGGAGGTGGGTACATCATTGGTGAGTGTCAGAAGCAAAATTCGGTAAGCTATCAGTCTCTTGCAACAATGTCACATTTTGATTGAAATGTTACAATACATACAGGTATAGTATTTGTATAAAAACAAAACATGTAATGAAAACTGAAAAAAAGTCAGCATTTTAATTGTAACACTGTAACATGCTATGGGTAGCCATGTTGCTTTCTGAAATTTTACATTTGTGGCAACTTATGTCAGCACCTGAAAAACTTTTGGATTTTGGAGGTTTTTTGAATCTCAGATAAAGGATACTCAACCAGTAGTAAGATTTTTCTCACTTTGCTTACATTTTCCCTAGAGTCATAATTCTGAGCAGGAGGGCCAGGAATGAAGATTTGTGGGATACAGGTGAGCATTTCAATTTAGGCAGGTACAAACAGAAAATGTAACACATAAATCTTGTTTGTTAATGGTTCATTTAAGATTCTTTAACCAAAAAAGAACAGAAAAAAATATGATTTTTCTTGGCTTGTTCATTGAAGCAAATTTAGCCCTTAAAATTAAGTACAGATTGAGAATCCTTTATTGGAAATACTTGAAACTGGAAGTGTTTCAGTTTTCAGTGATTTTGGAGGTTTTTGGAATCTCGGATAAAGTATAATCAACCTGTACTAACATTTTTTTCATTTTTCTCACTGTTTTCCCTGGAGTTATATTGCTGAGCAGGAGAGCCAGGAATCTTAGCTAGTTGTCCTAAACTATAAATAAATATCTTTAATGATATATACAAATATCTAAATTTAAGTCCTTCAACCTCTATTCAGGCTTCATTCACCAGTCTAAAAAGAAGTGTTTAAATTTTGTTTGTATTCATACACATTCATGCTCCATTTACTGTTGGTGAAAAGTAAAAATTAAAAATATATTTTTTTAGTTTTAAAAAAATTTAGTTGCTTTTAAAATAAATAAAATAGAATACTAATTAAAAGTTTTGTATCAACCCAGCATTGTACTCACAAAAAAATAAAAAAATCTTAGCGAGTTGTTCAAAATCATAAATAAAGAAAAAGTAGAAAGAAAAATAAATAAATAAAATAAAAAATACAAAAAAATAAATAAATAATACACAAGGCCGGGACAATACTCTAAAAGCAATCAAAACAAAAAGCTAGCAAAAACCGGTTGACCCCCTCTTTCCTCAAGCACCTAGTGACCTATATACAGACAAAGTAGCACACCACATGGTCTGATGATCACTTAAGGCTTGAAACTACCAGTCACTATTCTATTCTAAATCTAGTTTAAAAAAAAAAAAAAAAAAAAATGTGCTGGGAACTTTTTCATACACCCACCCGTCTCACATACACAACTGGAAAGGTTTCATAAACCAGTTGAGACCCTGTAACATGTAGAAAGCTCTAAAATCATGAAGGCAAGCTAAAATAGTGACATTAATTGAAGGTGTAGTGCATCAACTGTCTTGTTAGTCGGCTTCAAAATCTTTGAGGAATAATTTTAGGTTAGGGTTAACCCCTTCCCCGCCAATTATTTTGGGAAAAACCTTTCATTTTCAGATGAAATTTTTATTTCTTTTTAATGCAGTAACTAACAAACTGAGGTACCTTGAAGTTCCTGAGTGGTGGCTAACACCTCTACCAGACACACGAGTAGACAACGGAATTTGTTTCATACTCAAAAGGGCATCAAAAGAATCAAGATCAACATATAAACAAGTCTGTCACTGGTTTTGAATGCTATATTTTGGCTGTGTTTATTTGTCCGTGCCTGAAAAGGACACCTTTGTTAAAAACGTATATACACATCTATGCAGGGAAAGGGGTTAAATGTCATCAGAAGATTTTGAAGGTTATATACAGTTGTGTCATAATACTTTAAAAAAAAAAAAAAAAAGAAAAAAAAAAGGCTACTTTATGAGATCAAAGTTTAAAATTACTAACAGGCAGAGAATTAAAAATAAAGGTTCAGTCATTGTTACAGGTATTAGAAGCTGAGGACTTTTTATAAGTAGATTCTTAAATTGTACAAGGTAACCAAAAAAGTCCTTGCCATTTTGGATTTATTAGAAGAAAAAAAAAGTTATACAACAAATTTGACATACCGTTAGTCCTCAAAGTAATCCCCATTGGCATCCAGAACCTTTTACCAACATATCTTCAGTTGCACAATGCCATGGTGGTAAAAATCAGGTGTTTTGGATGCAAAGGTGTCTGTGAGTACCTGCCACAAGTCTGCCTGATTTGTAAAGGTTTTCCCACAAAGGTGGTTGTCAACAGAATGAAAGAGCTGGTAATCAGTTGGCACAAGGTCTGGAGAGAGTAAGGTGGATGACAGCCAAGTTGCTGTATTGTATCCCTAGTCACCCATGCCACATGATGCTTGGTATTCCAATAAATGGGTAAAATTTCACGCAATAATCAATGGTAAACTTTTACACAGTAATCAAAGCCAGTAATGGCAGCCAGGCTGTAACCGAGACTCAAATAAGATTGTCAGTATCTCCTAAACAGTAGGAGTTTCCTCAATTTTTAATGCTAATTTTGGAATAATCAGGCTTTTTTTTTTTTTTTACACCAGGAATAATGCTTTGTTTTTAAAATGGTCACTGGAGCATTATCTGCAAATTAACCGAATATTTAAATAAACACAACTGTGAGCAACTGTGATTATAAATTTTGAAAAAAAAAAAAAAAAAAAAATGCATTTTCAAACTATTTGTGTAATTTGTGTGCATCTGAAATTATGTTTTTGCTTTCTCCCAAGAACTGTTAAACACTATTAGACTTCTTGATTACAAGAATAATGTTGAATAGTTTTGTTGTCAATTATTGAGGAAAAAACAGAATGCATAAATCCAGTTTCATATGTTTGGATTTTATTCAAATTCTAAAAAGTAGCTTTTTAAAACAATAAAAAGTTGCCTAGGGATTATATGTTAAAGTGTAAAGAGAAAAATCCTTTTTTTTTTAAGCACCATGTTTTTAGCAGGGGCTACAAATGTTAAACTTTGGCACTTTTAACTAATCCACACTATTTGTCTTGAACTGTAATGAAAAAGGTCTGTAGGACAGTTATTGCATGCTGTTCAAAGTTCTTGAATTTTGGGGTAGCAACTTGTTGAGGTAGGGGCCCCTCTAGGGGTTGATCAGATTATTCAGAGTGTTGGTATAAGTTAATAAAACTACATAAAATAATCCAATAAAATACAATTAGCTTATACACATATACACACTTTTTCTATGTAGTACACATTTTTGATGTGAACACAATTTGCTGGTACACATTTTTGATTTCTATATAACCAGTTCTGTTTCCTCTGTTTAGCTGGCAGGAAAAAAGAATATAATTTTAAATTTAAAGTGTTTGTCCATTTAAAAATCATACCTTTAATATAAAAGGTATTCTATTTAAATACAGAATTTTTGAATTAATTAGAAAGTTATTAGTTTTTCTTCTCTATTCTATTCTTGAAACAAACATCAAACTCTTATTTTATTGGGAAAACTACTGAAATAGCATTCAGACAAACACGTCTAGTATAGGAAAAAAATAGAAATTGGAAAAGGAATAAGAAAATGTAAAGCTAATATAAATCTGATCAAGAAATGATATTGAATGAAAAGAACATTTCTTCCTTTAAATATGGTTTTAAAGATTTGGTGACCCCTATGTTGAGGTGTAAACACAATAGTCAGAAGTTTTCATGGGAACATGTCTGCAAATTTAATAGGGAGGGGCAGGGGAGGCAACCATAGCACTCATTGAAACCAGCAAGTCATACACCCAGTCTTGTACCAAACAGCATCTAAACTGCCCATTTCATAAATGGTTAACTTTTTTGTTCTCCCCACAAAGTGACCATAATCTCCCAGAAATCAACACGACTTCTCCATTCTCTTGAGACATCTAGTTAAGAATTTGTATTTAGGAATTATTTTTTCCTTGCTATTTGTAAAGGTCAAAGTTCTTTTATTTTTTTATATACAGTGATGTTCACCCTGTAGGGAGACCATGAGCCACTCGATGTAGAGGGTTACAGTAAGAGGCAGTTTATATGGTGGGGAAGATAATGGTTAACCCTAGACTTAAACAGCTTAAGATTGTAGTAATTGGGGAAAGATCCTTTTTGGAGCTGGTTCCACAGAGAAATGGTTTGATTTGCAGGAAGAAGCTATTTGAGTGGAACTTATTTCTCCCTAATGGAATACGGAGAGAATGTGGGTGGTTGGTTTGTTACGATGTGAGTGGCATGGTGAATCCTAGTCATGAAGGTTAGACCTGTCAAAACCAAGGAATGCAGTTTGTTCAAGCCCTTTCCATAGAAGTAGCAATGAGCAGTGAGAGGCGGCTTGCCACATCCTGCCTGTGAGAGAGAGGTTGGAGGGTGGAGAATAATTTGCTACACAAAACGACTCGGAGATGCTTTTGGATTCATTTTGTATCAATGTTTGTCAAACATTGATACAAATATCAATGTTTGTCAAACATTGATACAAATATCAATATTTGATTGATACAAATATCAATGTTTGTCAAACATTGATACAAACATTGATACAAATATCAATGTTTGTCAAACGATGATACAAATATCAATGTTTGTCAAACATTGATACAAATATCAATGTTTGTCAAACATTGATACAAATATCAATGTTTGACAAACATTGATACAAACGATGATACAAATATCAATGTTTGTCAAACATTGATACAAATATCAATGTTTGACAAACATTGATACAAACATTGATACAAATATCAATGTTTGTCAAACATTGATACAAATATCAATGTTTGACAAACATTGAAACAAATATAATGCAATACAGTCAATGTCAGTTGTACGTATTGATTACTCTCCTGCATCTAATAACTTGGTGGGGGTGAGTCTAATAACTAGTGGGGGGGGGATTTTCTTGCAAATTCTTAGTATGTGGTTGGTCAAAATAAGTTAGTAATACATAAGTTAAGAGGGTAAAGGGGTCAGAATGAAGTATAAAATATTAAGTTGTTGTGGTTATGCTGAGTAGATAAATAAATAAATAAATAAAATTTTTAAAATGAAAGTTGGAAAGGGATTTATTAACTGTGGGAGAACAAAATTGGCATTTTATCTCTTTTGTTGCTAGATCTTGCTCTTTTTCAATCCATTTAGCTTTTTTCTTTTTCTTATTAATATTTTCTTATTTTGTAATAATAAGAGCTACATGTAAGACTTCCAAGTGGCAACTCTGTACGAGAGTACATTTCTAGAAGAAGGCAGCAGAACTGGTTTTTTTTTTTGTTCTTGCTGTTGCAGTAGTAGTAGTAATAGTAGTAATAATCTTTTATTTGTTTTTATGTTGCTTTTTAAGATGATTATCTGGTTGTTTACACATTCTATGACTGCAAAGTAAATAGCTGGGTTCAGAGAGAAAGAGAGAGGAGAGAGAGAATAAATTTACAATGAAACAAAGATTAGGCAAAAATTATTATTAATAATAATAATTTGAAGAGAAGAGAAAGAGAAACAAAGAAAAGAGAAAGATAATGAAAAAGAAAGAGAAATAGGGGGAATGAAAAAAGAAAGAGAAGAGAAAGAGGATGGAAAAGAGAGAGATAATGAAAGAGAAATAAAGAGAAAAATAAAGAAAGAACGAAAAGAAAGAAAAAGAAAGAGAATGAAAAAAGAGAGAGAGAGAATGAAAGAGGAATAAAGAGAAGAGAAAGAGGATGAAAAAAAGAGAGAGAGAACGAAAGAGAAGAGAAAGAGGATGAAAAAAAGAGAGAGAGAACGAAAGAGAAGAGAAAGAGGATGAAAAAAAGAGAGAGAGAACGAAAGAGAAGAGAAAGAGGATGAAAAAAGAGAGAGAGAACGAAAGAGAAGAGAAAGAGGATGAAAAAAGAGAGAGAGAACGAAAGAGAAGAGAAAGAGGATGAAAGAAGAGAGAGAGAACGAAAGAGAAGAGAAAGAGGATGAAAAAAAAATGAGAGATTATGAAAGAGAAGAGAAAGAGGATGAAAAAGAAAGAGAGAGTATGAAAGAGAAAATAAAGAGAGAAATAAAGAAAGAATAAAAAAGAAAGAGAACAAAAGAGAAAGAACAAAAAAGAAAGATGAAAAAGAAAGAAAAAGAGAATGAGAAAGAAAGAGTAGAAAAAAGAAAGGGGAAAAAATAAAGAAAGAAAAAAGGAATGAATAAAGAACAAAGAAAAAGATGAAAAAGAAAAAGAAGATGAAGAAGAAAATAGTTTCTTTGGAGAAACTCCAACTTAAGACTATTACATCACTCTCAGGTGATATTAAATACTCACAAAAAAAAATCAAAAATAGTAAAACGAAAGAAAGAAAAACAAAAATGAATAATAATTGTTAAGAGGAGAAATCTAAAGCAGTTGTACATTTCTGTCATACCGTGCATTCTAATTAAGGAGCCAAAATATGTTTTTCTAATATAAACAAGCCAAAGCCAGTTTCCTGAATAAAGAATTTCAAAGAAAAGTTGAAAAAACTACAGAAAAATATTTCGTTTTTCTTTGCATCCCATTGATAAATCATTGTCATTGATAGTCGAGGAAATGCTCATCAGAACAATTACAATTGAAATATTTATAGAAAAGGCATAGGGAAGCTATGTTACAATATGATGAACAACTCACAAGTTACATAATAAAATAAATTTACATTTATTATTATGTAACTTGTGGGTTGTTAAACCCACAAGTTACATAATAAACAAATTACTGCAAATATTTCTAATAAAAACAGATATTGTAAACGGAAATGACCATAGTATGTTTATCATAAAAAATATATACTGAAAATTGGTTGGTTAATACTTAAGTGTGAAAATATTGACTTACATAATAAAATCTGACATTGAATGATAGACAAAATAGAATATTAATTGGGAAAACTTAAATTGAAATATATTTTAAGATATCATCATACTTATTATAAAAACCAGGTTGTGTGTGTGTGTGTGTGTCTGCACGTTTATATATTGGATCAGATTTCCTACATTTTTCAACCGATTTCAACAAAACTTCACAGGACTGCATAAAATTACCTTGTGGTGGTTCTGACAGCGCCAAAAATTGGAAAAACAATTGTTTTTGCACGAAATCAATTTGAAAATACGATTAAAAGGCATCGCTGTTGTCAGAATGAAAGGGTGACAACTCATATCAAGTTATACTTATTATAAAACCCAGGTTGTTTGTGCGTGCGTGCGTATGTGTGTGTGTTTATATATGGGATCGGATTTCCTACATTTTTCAACTGATTTCAACTTTTTTTTGGCAGGTAGTGTTTCTTGCACACTTTTTTCTTTATTTTTACATTCAGAATGCTTTAAAAATTCCATTTACAAGACAATTGTTTATAATAAAATTCTATTCAATCAGTAGACTCATAACGATTGAAAACAATGTTTTTGTTTGAGTTTGACCAATTCGTAAAAAAAAAAAAAAAAAAAAAAACAACACTAATTAAGACATGCGTGTCCGTCAACCTTAAACAATAATCTTTGTCAATTTTATTTTTCAGTCTTTATGATGGTCGATACTTGATCTATCTCTTACTGTTACATCGCCGGGCTCTACTGCTAGTGTTGTATAAGTGTAAGAAAAGGCAAGAAGTGAAGATGATGGGGATTATGCTGGAAAGGTAATGTTTAACCTTAGACTTGAAGAGGTCAAGAATGCAATGATTCAGAAAACATTGGGAGTCTGTTCCCCAAAGCAAAAGTTCTTGGGAAGAAGCTGTCCAAATCAAACTTACTTTTTTCTTACTAAAGTGAAGTTTATGAGGCGATGGGTCTATTCAGGAAAGATAACGGTTAACCCTAGACTTGAAGAGGTCAAGATTGTAGTGATTGGGAAAACATCCTGTTGGGAGTCTGTTCTACAAAGCAGCAGTTCTTGGGTAGAAGTTGTCTGAATGGAACTTACCTCTTTCTTGCTACAGTAGAATCCCTGGCAACCGAAAAAAAAAAAGGCCCTCTGTATATGAGGAATTGGTTACAAAGTCCGGATATGAGGGGTTATATTTAGATTAAAATAAAAGAACTGAAATCAGGTTTAACATTTATTTTCAATGTTTTAAAGTAAACAAAATAAGCTAATGGTGAGTGAAATATAATGGAATTGACCTGAAGAGGTCAAGATTGTAGTGAGTCTTTCTGTTAGTAGTTTGTTCTACAAAGCAGCAGTTCAAAAGTTGTCTGAATAGAACTTCTTTCTTACTCAAGTTCACTGTTATCACTCTAATGTTGATTGGATTTTCCTTCTTAAGCATTTCTTTAAGGTAGTGTGGAAAGTCAACATCTTGATTACCATATGAGATCTGATCAAAAAGTATCAGGACTGTTACTATGTTAATGGAGCTAGAGTATGCAGAATGAAGCTGCTGGTCACAGACTGACCTAGAACTCTGTCATGCATACATATTAAGTTATAACATTCTTGCTCACTTCCGTTGTTTATAGCAGTGCTTGGAAGGAAAGTGTGTAGTGTGTGGTTGTCTAACCAGGTCACTAGTGACCATGGTTTGTGCAATACTTTGACAAAGGACAACATTCTTTAGGTCCGACAAACACCATATTCCCCTGATCTCTCTTCTTGCAACTTCTAACTCTTCAAAAATCAAATAACAGTAGAAAAGAACGAGATTTCAAGACATTTAGGAAATCCAAGAGAATGTGATGAGGCAGCTGTTTTGTGTATATTTACACAACTATTTTTAATTCCAGCATTCATGTTTTTGATGGAACCAATTTCAAGTCAAAAATTATGTATATATATATATATATATATATATATATATATATAGTTTGATCAAAAACTATCGAGACTTTTGCTATATTAATGGAGCTAGAGTATGCAGAATGAAGCTGCTGGTCACAGTTTGACCTTGAACTCTGTCATGCATACATGTTATAAAATTCTCGCTCACTTCCGTTGTTTATAGCAGTGCTTGGAAGGAAAGTGTGTAGTGTGTGGTTGTCTAACCAGGCCACAGAGTTTCCATCAGTGACCATGGCTTGTACAGCAGTCTTTGGCCAATCACAACATTGTCTGAGTCTGATAAACACCATATTCACCAGATCTCATCCCTAGTGACATTTTCCTCTTCAAAAATCAAATCCCAGTTGAAAGGAACTAGATTTCAAGATGGCAAGGAAGTCTAAAAGAATGATACAAGGCAGCTGCTTGCTATCCCCCTCCCCAAAAAAACTTCCAGGAATGCTTCCATCAATGAAAATGACACCAAATATATGGCTTCAGAAGGGGGACTACTTCAAAAGAGATTAACTGATATGTGTTGTAGTTTTCTTTTTATAGCACCTGCTTATGGCCACATCACATTAACACACTGGTTCTCAAATGATCACTGTAGTTAAGCAACACCGAGTCTGGTCAGTACCTTGATGGGTAACCACTTGGGAATACCAGGTGTTGTAAGTAATTATGTTTCTAAATTGTTAATTGGAGAGCTGAGTTCCAATTCCAGTTGAGTTTGTTATAATGATTTTCCAAGCATAGCAAAGATGTGGTACAAGGCCCAAAGTAAAAGGCACCTAGTGAGGATCGAACTGTCTACTCAGTCATAATTTTTCTAGTGAGGCAAGCTTGCTAACCATTACACCACGTCGAGGTGTCCAAGTTGAGTTTGTTATATGCACTTATGTGCAATTACCCTTGGGGAAAGGTATAAATTCACATCTTCTCCCTCCAGTTATGGGTTAATTAGTAAGACTTGCATCATAAAATCATTTTCTCGACAAAAAAAAAAAAAAATTTTTTTTAGACTCTAAAAATATTTTCTGGCTTTAAATAACCTGCAATGGGTTGATAAACCATAGAAAACAAACCGATCAATCTTTATAGCTCCAGTCCTGATACTTTTTGAACAGACCTTGTGTATACTTGAGTTTAGTGGGTGTTTTTATGATCTGTTTTTTTATGCAAGAAATAAAGAGTTGCATTATACACAGGTATTGTTTTCTTGAAGGCTAAATGTCATGCATTTTCAGTGACCGGTTGTACAATACACAGGATAATTATCTTTGGTTCGGTGTAGAGGTGGCGGGGTCGGTAAAATTTATGCAAAAAAAATTCAGGGGTTGCACTATACCTGAAGTGGGCTAATACAAGAGTATATATGCTCTATCATTATTTTCTCAAGTTACATGTTCTACCCGTTTTAGTTGCGGTTGGCATTGGAAGTCTTCAAGTGATGCAATTTTTCTTATTTGGTAAAGGTCTTTGAGATTCTACAATTCCAGTCTATAGGGTCTAATGAAGGACCATCTTCTCTAAGATCTACTGAGGCCATTCTGATCCAAGAAAACAGTTGGATGTAGTTGAGATTTCAGGCATTTCTGAACAAGTTGGACACCATGCACGAGAGTCAAGATCTGACAAGATTATTTAAGAATAATGCTAAGGATGCAGTTAAAATTGTTGGCTCCCTGTACCGCTCCAGTAAGTATCTGACTCCTCCCCCTATCCCCTACCTTTACAAGAGCCAGATCAAGCCGAAAATGGAGTATTGTTGTCATATTTGGACAGGAGCTGCCCAGACCTCGCACTCTGGCCTTGATAGTGTTCAAAATCATCTCCAAGCCCTTGTGGGTGATGAATTATTCTCCACCCTTCAACCTCTCTTCTACAGGTCTCTCTGCTCTATCACTACTTCCATGGAACTATATTTCCTGGTCCCATCAAGTCAAACCATCACAGCAACGACACATCATGTCACTTACTGTTGTAGAGTAGTTTCACAGTAGAGGCTTGTATTTGTACTAAGTCGGTCCTAAAATAGGTTCAACGTACAAAACGTTAGGAACTTGATATAATAGGTAATGATGCAGAGAAATCTAGTTGCAGTCGCTGATACTTTAGTATCCGACTAACGGTCGTCCGACACTGACTGACTGACCGACCAACGATATTTAGTCACCCCCCCACGAGGGCATCATGTGGCACAAGGCCAGTTTAACGTGGGATCAAAAATATGCCCATTGAACCCTTATAAACAGGTTCAGGGTCGGTTTACCTCACCAAAAGAGAATCCACCCTTTGGCATAGCCTCTTTCAGGTTCCTCCCCGCCCGAAGGCAGAGAGTTCAACCGATCAGCCGGTCGACCAACATCGACTGACTGACCAATGATATTTAGTCACCCCACCCCCGCGAGGGCATCATGTGGCACAAGGCCAGTTTAACGTGGGATCTCCAAACTCGTGGGCTCGGCCAAAAATATGCCCATTGAACCCGAATAAATGGGTTCAAGGTCAGTTTACCTCCCCGAAAGAGAATCCGCCCTTCGGCGTAGCCTCCTTCGGGTTCCTCCCTGCTGAAAGCAGAGAGTTCAATTGATCAGCCAGTCAACTGACTGAGCGACTCCTACTACTCTTACTTATTATAGGTGGGAGAGTCTATTAACAATAGAATAATTGTGTTCCACTATAACACTTACATAGTAGCAAACCACTCATGTTTCATCTGTATTGCATCAGTGATAGGTTCCACTTGTGCAGCTTCTTCCTGTGAACTGCTGTAACTGATTCCCAACAAAATGTTTCCCCGATCATTATAATCTTAACCTGTTCAAAGTTAAGTCTAACTGTTATCTTCCAATCCTATACACACAAATGGCCTCCAGGCCTTGTAATGGGTGAAAAAAATAAAAAAACAAAACAAAACCATGACATAAATTTTTAGGTTAATATTTTGGAAGTAGAAAAACAGTATCAGAAATTGCTTACAGTAAGTTAACTCTGTTAAGTGTTTTTGTCCAATCAAAACATTTATATGACATTACCTCAAAGTCCTGAGTATCAAGATCTCCTCGTACAGGAAACTCTGGTAGAAACAAGGCTTCTGCAAGTGGAACTGGTGTTTGTGAATCTGAATTCTTTGATTCTCCATCAGTGACACTGCCAGTGGATGGTAAACGTGCCAGTCGGGCGGAACTACGAGACTTCCCTCGAACAAGCAGTGGGTCAAGGACAAAACTCTGCAAACAGAGAAAAAAGAAAACTAAATTTGGTATTGAAATCCTAAAAAGCATTTTTGATTTTAATTTATCTGCAGAGTCATAAATAATTTCCGTATTTGTCTATCCACTTTATTCGTCAAAAATAAAATACTATTATATTTTATTCCTTTATATATTTACTTGTGTATCACAAGATCTCAACCTGAGTTTTGGACCAAGAATCCTGAAACTGACTTATCACCTCAGAAATATAGAACTTTGTGGATTAGATAAAACTGAAACATGTATTGTAAGAATAATTGCATTAACAATTTTTTGGAGATAATGATTTTCCCCCAGATACAAGTTTTACTATTTAACCCATAGCTGGGGGGTTGAGGAGATAGATTCATACCTTTCCCAAGGTTATTTGCAATTGTGTAAACAAAGCTGATCAGAAGACATTGATAGTCATGCTAGCACAAAGTCACAAGTCATTGTGACCAAGAGGTTTAGTATATTGACCTCGTTCCAACTATGCACTCTCTCCCAGAAACCATAAGATGGCCCACTCAGCATAGTTGCAATATAAAACACAGGTGAACTCTGTGGGTATTGAACAAATACAAATCTGCTACAAATTGACTAGCTACTCTTAACAGATATTTCTTCTTGTAGGGGCTTATTTTTGCGACAAGCTTGTATTCTTGTGTGAACACTTCCGTGCTCTAAATACTGTGTAATATTTGCATTTCAGAACATAATGCAAGCCATATAAATTCTTATTTTCAGTTGAACAAATGTTAAATTTAGATTAAATAATTAGGCCTGTATATTATACATGAACAATTTTTTTATGAAATGTCCTTTAAGGATGTAGATGATCATGTGTCTCCACAGGTTCCTTTTCTTTATTTTCTGTTAATTACCATTATTGGGAAAGATAGAACAGTTTGGAATTTTGTTTTCCTTCTCTTAGACTGGTTGCCACCAAATGCTAGCAAGTCCAGTTTACACTGCTATTTAACCCATAGCTAGTGTAGAGAGAAAAGACGCATTCAGACGTTTCTCAATGACATTTGTGCATAACTGAATGCAGCAGACTAGCCCATGATTCAAACTCTGGCTTACCAACTCCATTTTCCATACCAATATCCATTGCACAGCGTATAAATTTAACCTATAGATGAAGATCGCAAATATTTACACTAGTTAATAAAAAAAAAAAATTATTAGCAAATATACTAATCAAACAAACACATTTGCCTATCGTCATTGTTTGATTTGTACTAGAGTACTTTCTTGATTATTTGCACCTTAATTTTCTAGACTGATTACCTGGACATGAAATGAAGAAGAAAATTGAAATCATCCATACATTTTTTATTTATCCAAACTAAACCCATCTCAGACATGTATTTTGAGAATTTAGAATCCATACTGAAAGGCTGATAAAAATTCTAATAAAATCGGTTCAAAATTAATTCTTGCTAATTTCTTTCTTGTTGTCATACAAAAAATATATGTTTGAATTATCACAGCTTGGTCATCTCAGAGATGATGTCTTATGCAACTTTCTGATATGTGTGACACATTTAAATTATGCTTGAATAAAAAAAAAACAAAAACAAAAAAAAAAACCTAATCTCTATCCTCACACAAAGTGTGCATGTGACTTTGCATGTGTGTCCATAATGTATATGCTTGTGTTCAACAGCCATAATGCCAAATTTCAAATACTGAAGCATTAATTATGTTTGACGCATGTTTTAAGTTGGTTGTGTTTTTGACCAGAAGCAACTCTTACAAAGAAATCAACTTTAATCCAGTTTTAAGACTTAGTGACAGAAAAATGTGAAGCCAGCCGGAAACAGAAAAACTGATGCAGGTTTTTTTTTTTAATATTAAAAAAATAAACTGGACAAAACCTTGAATAAAGCATTTGAAAATATTATTTGATGATATAAATGATAAATTCCTTTCAGATAATGGGTCTTTTCTTCAGTCTTTTCAAGAACGAAGGTATTCAATTATTTGCCATTTTGAATTATCTGAACATATTTTAGGTGTCTGGATAATTGAAGAAGTACTGCATCAAAAGAAAAAAAGATCCCTTATTTTTATATGTAGATGGAGTTTCTATCCATCCTGAACATGAATGGAAACTGGATCCATCAAAATATAACAAAAAAAAACCCCAAAAAAACAAAATGTGATCAAAAGTTCAAATTGCTATTGAAACAATAATGAGTTGAAGTGAATTCCGAAATGAGTCATTATCATCCAAAGAGATTTTTGGGTAAACAATTTGGCTGGTTTATTCTATGGCATTCTTCAGGCATACTACACATAAGAAAAAAAAATAGTGTCTTTTCTTTCAGTTATGTAAAGAAAAAAGATGTGGTAGTTGAGAAAATTTAAACATTAACAACATTGCTTGTAAAATAAATCATTCTGTTTACGGCAATCTATATTATAAAAAAAGAGTTTATTCTTTATCTGTCACACACTGTGTGCATATAACTGTGCAAATGCATCTGTAATGTTTATGCTTATGGGTGAGTTACTTACATGTATTTTTACCATTTAATGTATACACAAGCACAATTTCACCAAATTTGAAATAAGACATTGGAATAATATTAGGTTGTTAAATATGTTTGTTCTTTTTTTTTTCTGATGTTCTGCGAATGATTTTAAAGAATCATCTTTTGTAGCATTTTTTGCTTCTTAGTAAGTGTGATCATTATGTGAAATTGTTGTCTAACATTATTGAAATTTTATTTCAGATTAGACACCCCTTTGAGATGGAATGCCTAAGTAGACAAGAATAAGCATGTTCAACATCTTTGCTTTTAATCCAGGCCACAAAGCTGCTCTAGACAATTGTATTGTGTACAGAGATGACTTCATTACCAACAGAAGGGCACAGAAATGGTTTTCTCATTTCAAGGAGAAGTTTGAACTCACAAACTCTGACAGAGACTATTATATTGAATCAATTGCTAGGTCCGCTGTTAGGAAAGTTCCCTGTGTTGTGCTAGACAATCCTTCTCAGCAGAATCCATCTTGCACATTTATAAGTCTACCATTTGTCTGTGCATTTAATATTGCTGCCACATCTGGTAAGGTGCTTCTGCTATACATCTACAGATTCCTGACAAAATCCAAAGAAGAATCTGCAATGTTATTGATCCTGATCTGGCATCTCGGTTTCAGTCATTTTCTCCCCTACTGTAACATAGCTTCCCTGTGCCTTTTCTGTAAATATTTTCATGGCAATTGATCTGATGAGCTTTTCTTTTTAGTACATCCATTTTACAAATTTATGCCTGATACCAAATTGGCAGCTGAGCCTCAATCATTTTACTGTTGAAACGGCTAAGTGTAACCGTAAGTTCTATGTTAACAGTTTCTTCTCTGACACTTCTCCCTCATGAAAGTCTTTTCCAGCTTCATGCTTTCCAGTGAATTTTGACCTTCAAATATTTAAATGCAACATTTTTTTTTATTATCCTTTGTCCTCGATGTTCCTTTTTATTCTCTGCAATTCTTTTACATCCTACTGGAATTTATTGCCTTGATTCAGTAAAATTATTAAAATATTTACCAAACTCTGATATAAGTTTATAAAATTTTATTCCAGTGTTTACTTTTATATCTACATGCTTGCATTCCTGGCAACTATGAGCTTCAAAAATCCAAATATCAGTTTACTGTCTCCTTGAAATCTGATCTTTTATTGTCCTTTCTCCTCAATAACGGCTTCTCAGTTTTTTTTTGCTCATTAACCCCTCATGTTTTACTGGCTTTATCATCTTACTTGGGGTGAAATGTTTTAAAAAAAATATATAAATAAAGAAAAAATAAATGTAGTATTTTAAAATTGACAAATGGTTCAGGTCTGAAATACAATCATCTCACCGCTAGCCAAGTGGCAGTTAATGAACTGGTGACTAATAGACAGAAAACATTGACAGGGACAGAGAAAGTAAATGAACCGGCATGTCTCAACTTGTTAGTTTGATGTAGAAGTCAGATCAAAACGGATTTCAATGCAATATGACTTTGATTGTTCAACAGGAATACGGTTTGGAATTGTTTGTTTAGCAAAGAAAAGATTTGAGGACATTTCCACATGAAAAATTTTTACTGAAATGAGAACAAAGTATTTTACAAGCATTGTTGTTCATATTTAAATTCTCTGTTTGCTACTGATTTTTTGCTTCGCATACTAATAATAAAAGAGACGGTCTCTTTTCATACAAGTATGTCCAAAGAAGGTGGAAACAGAATATCAAATACCAACATCCAAATAACTATTTACACTATTTACATCCGGACTATTGTCTGCATCTTTGTTTTTGTTATTACAATGTTTCGGCCATTGTGCCTTCCAGCCTTCATCAGGTATATATCGATCTGGATAACATAAAGGGTCAGTTTGGAATTCCCAATAGGTTGTCCAGATAGATATTCACCTGATGAAAGTTGAAGGGTACAACAGCCAAAATGTTGTGATAACAACAACAAAGTTGAGGACAATAGTCTGTATATAAATAGTGTAAATAATGATAACTGCTCATCCCAGAAATCCAGACAGAAGGCGGTCAGGTGATAATAACAACAAAGATGAGGATATTAGTTTGAATGTAAATAATGATAACTCCTCAGCCCAGAAATCCAGACAGAAGTCGATCAGGTGATAATAACAACAAAGATGAGGATATTAGTCTGAATGTAAATAATGATAACTCCTCAGACCAGAAATCCAGACAGAAGTCGATCAGGTGATAATAACAACAAAGATGAGGACATTAGTCTGAATGTAAATAATGATAACTCCTCATCCCAGAAATTCAGACAGAAGGCAATCAGGTGATAATAACAACAAAGATGAGGACATTAGTCTGAATGTAAATAATGATAACTGCTCATCCCAGAAATTCAGACAGAAGTCAATCAGGTGATAATACAACAAAAATGAAGACATTAGACTGAACATAAGTAATGATAAATTATCATCCCAGAAATTCACA